AATCCTAGAGTTTGAAGAGACCTCATGGGCCATCCAGTCCAACCCCCTGCCAAGAAGGAATATTGCATTCAATGCACACCCGACAGATGGCCATCCAGCCTCTGTTTAAAAGCTTCCAAAGAAGGAGCCTCCACCACACTCCGGGGCAGAGAGTTCCACTGCTGAACGGCTCTCACAGTCAGGAAGTTCTTCCTCATGTTCAGATGGAATCTCCTCTCTTGTAGTTTGAAGCCATTGTTCCGCGTCCTAGTCTCCGAGGAAGCAGAAAACAAGCTTGCTCCCTCCTCCCTGTGGCTTCCTCTCACATATTTATACATGGCTATCATATCTCCTCTCAGCCTTCTCTTCTTCCAAACTAAACATACCCAGCCCCCTAAGCCACTCCTCATAGGGCTTGGCTTCCAGACTTTTGACGATTTGGATTTTCCTTTGCTGGACACTCCAGCTTGTCAATATCCTTCTTGAATTGTGGTGCCCAGAATTGGACACAATATTCCAGGTGTGGTCTAACCAAAGCAGAATAGAGGGGTAGCATTACTTCCCTAGATCTAGACACTATGCTCCTATTGATGCAGGCCAAAATCCCATTGGCTTTTTTGCCGCCACATGACATTGTTGGCTCATGTTTAACTTGTCCACGAGGTCTCCAAGACCTTTTTCACACGTACTAGTTAATTAACAGCATTTAAAGATATACAGAGAATATCTGAACAATTAAATTGATCATTAACAAATATTTATGCAATTTAGCCTGGAGTGCTCCACATCTTCAACAAATCAGCAATACAGAACTGAAAGGCTTAAGTATAGATTGGTGGTGATAGTAATTAATACAGTAATGGTGGCTGATGAGGACTGATAGGGATGTTGCAACTATGGTTTTCTACTGAAATGTTCCACCACAATTACTACATTGGGTTCTCTGTAGAAATCTACAAAACTTGACAGATGGGTTGCTGTAGGTTTTTTCGGGCTATATGGCCATGTTCTAGAGGCATTCTCTCCTGACGTTTCGCCTGCATCTATGGTAAACATCTCAGAGGTAGTGAGATGATTTGCCCACTCCCCTGGTTGTCCATCTGGTTAAACATATAAAGACTTGAACTCACCAGACTGATGCATGATAGATATCTTAACTCCATTTCTAACTAGATCCCTGAGGCCTTCTTGGGTACGCTCGTCTTGATGCTTGTACAGATGAACAGCTTTTATCTCTAGTCTCACTTTAGGGTGTGCTCTCAAGAACTCAATTATATCCTGGCTGCATGAATGGCAAGGACTCCAAGACAGATACCAAATTATTGAGCATGGTGTATTTTTCCGGAGACTTATCTTCTCACAGTAATTTTGCAAAAAATTCTTTTCAGCATGGAGGTCACGGGTGTTTGTACACCAGTTCTTCCAGGTGTTGCGTCGGTTATTCCAGCAGATTTCATACAGCAGAAAAGTCTTGGCGGGCCGTTCTGTGGGATCATAATTCCTCAGAAACTCTTCTGGTTCTATTATCCACCTGGAGAACAAATATGATAATAGAATTTCACAATTCAGGTACTCCTGACTTTTTGTCATGATTTGCTTCAGCACTGAGCAGGTCAACTGAATGTTCAGCTGTGTGTTCTTTCTTAGGTGAACTACCAAGGAATTGTGAGGGAAAACCAAAGGATTTTGCTATTACTAGCCTCCAACTCCAAGTGGATCAGAGGTTGCTCCTGTAAGTCCACATGACATCCAAAGACTTCTAGTTTTCAATGGGGAGCAACCAGGGTGATCAGGGAGATCAGCCATGATCTAAGGCAGTGGTTCTCAACCTTCCTAATGCCATGACCGCTCATGTGGTGGTGACCCCCAACCATAACATTATTTTTGTTGCTACTTCACAACTGTAATTTTGCTACTGTTATGAATCATAATGTAAATATCTGATATGCAGGATGTATTTTCATTCACTCGACCAAATTTGGCACAAATACCCAATGTCAGGATCCAGTTTCCGGAGTCTAGACTTTGGCACCGAAAACTAGACTCCTGATGCTTCACCCTGATAAGGACCCTGCAGCTGGTGGCCTTGAAAGAAGGCAGTTGCTTGGTGGCGGGAAGCTTTTGCGCGGGGTTTTGAGTCTGGCGGGAATCTACCTTTTGAACAAGTGGGAGTGTATATAATGGGTTGCCTGCTGCGACCAGGCAATCCTGGCTTTTTTTGTGTCTATGCATCCGATAGTAAAGTTCTTTGTTTGATTACGATGGAAGTCTCATGTCATCATTGAGCCCAGCTGCCGTAAGCTGACATTAAGCCGGGATTCCCCCGCACCATCCTGCAGCAGCGGTGAGGTGCTATGATGGAAGAGGGGAGCGAATCCCCTCTAGAGGGGGAAGAAGACACTGTCCTCGGGGCGATGGGAGGAAAGCCAACCTCGCTTCTCGGCGAGGCCAAGGCGGAGCTCGAAAGAGTGGTGGCGCTTGCCTCCTCTACAGTGTACGCTAACCCCAACGGTGTCACCCAAAGGCGAACGAGGGAGGTCGCAGGAGGAGGCAGCAGCGATATGGATTTCACCTCGCCCCAGAGGTACGGCTGCTTGGAGGAGAGGGTGGCAGCTATGGAAACCACATTAGCCATGATGTCGAGGCTGATGGACCACCTGGGCCCCCTTCTGGAGGAACCCCAGCCCCGCGCAGAGTCGCCGTGGGATGCAAGTGCGGGGAGCAGCCAGATCCTGGGGGCGAGGCACAGGACCCAGGTGGCCCCGAGCGACGAAGGAGAAGGAATGCCGCGGGGAGCCGCGGCGACCCCGCAGCCCCTTACCTTGATGGCTCTGGCCGGGGCAGGGCGTGGCGAGGGGCGAGCCGGAGCGTCATTTGGGCAACCTGCACCCCCGGGGGGAATGGCGCACACGGGCGCCCAAGGAATGCAGCTCCAGCCCCTACAGCAGAGGAGAGAGGAGCTGCATGCAGAATTCGGAGGGAAGTCTGAAGACCTCGATTTCTTCCTGACGTTGGTACAAGGGTACCTAGAAGATAACGCGCATACCTTCAGGTCGGAGGCCAGCCGAGTGAGAGCAGTGGGAGCGGTGTTGAGGGGAGGCGCGGCGAGCTGGTACATTCAGCTCCATACCCGACGCGACCCATGTTTGGGGTCAGCGAGGGCATTCTTAGCCCCACTGGAGGCGTGCTTCCGGGACCCCCTCGAGCGCATCACAGCGAGGGACAGGCTGAAAACGATCACTCAAGGCCAGAGAAGTGTATCGGAGTTCGCCGAGGAGTTCCAGTTGCTCGCTGAAAGGGTCCCAGAGTAGTCGGCCCAGACAAAAGTAGAAATCTTCAAAGAGGGCCTGAGGAAGGAGCTGCTGGCCTGGGCACTTCACCGTGACGACCCGGGGATGATCCAGGGGTGGATCCAGCTGGCCGGACGTGTGGAGACAACGTTGGCCCAGGTCAAGAGGCACCGAGGAGCAGCAGCGCAGACCGGACCGCCGAGGACGGAGAACCGGAAGCCCGGTGGGGAGCCGCCCAGGAAAGAACCAGCGAGCGGAGAGAGAGGCCGACAGGGCGGATGTTTTGTTTGCGGCCGTTTGGGCCACAGAGCATCGGGGTGTTGGCAGCGAAAAGGAGGGGATCCCCCGAGGCCCAAAACAAAGTCTGCCGCCGGGAAGAAAGCAGAGGAATGCTCCCTCCTTGAGGCCACAACGGGATCTTTGGTGAGTCACGGCCCTGGAATGTTAGTCTTCCCCATAAAACTGGAGGGGGTAGATAAGTGGGCCGGCTGCAAAGCTTTCATAGACTGCGGATGTTCCAGGAACATCATGACCCCTGAACTTGCAGAGGAACTGAATTGCGAGAAAGTAGCCCTGCAAACTCCCATAGCATTCACCCAATTGGACGGGTCGATGGCGTCGGGAGCTCCAGCTAGGTTTGAGATTAGGGGGGTGAAGTGCAAAATGGGCGACTGGGAGGGCGAAGTAACATTCGTTGTCTCCCAGTTAGCAACATACCACGTAATCCTGGGTATGCCATGGCTATGAGAAGCAAACCCTTATGTAGATTGGGAGGAGAGGAGCCTGAGATTCCCAAAGACACCAACAGGAATGGGTGGCCGAGGTGAGGAAAGCACGCCAAGGGATAGGGTGCAGGACATTCCCCCCCAATACCGAGACTTTGCGAACGTTTTTAACGAAAAGGAAGCCGACAGGCTTCCTCCCAAAAGGAGGGTTGAGGTGAAAATTGAACTGAACAAGGACGCTACACTCCCTAAAGCCAAAATCTACCCGATGTCGGCTAGGGAGATGGACGAGTTGAAAAAGTACATAGACAAAAACGTAGCGCGGGGGTTCATTGAGCCTTCCGATTCCCCCCTTGGGGCCCCCGTGCTATTCAGACGGAAAAAGGACGGTTCACTACGGCTGTGTGTGGATTACAGGGGGTTAAACGCCGTGAGCACAACCACCTGTTACCCTCTGCCCCTAACCAAGGACTTGCTGTCTAGACTGGCGGAGGGGAGGGTGTTCACGAAATTGGACTTGGTCGAGGCTTACCACAAACTCCGGGTAAAGCCAGAGGACAGGTGGAAAACTGCGTTCCCCTGCGCGTTAGGATTATTCCAATTTTTTGTGTGTCCCTACGGCTTAAAAGGAGGGGGAGGGGCATTCATGCAAATGATCAACGAGATGTTGCACCCATTGTTATACCGTGGGGTCTTTTGTTTTATTGATGATGTAATCATTTTTAGTAAAAACTAAGCGGACCATGTCCAATTGGTGAGGGAAGTGCTCCAAAGGCTAAGGGAGGCAAAATTGTTCGCCAAACTAGCCAAATGTGAATTCAATAGGAAGCAAATAGACTTCTTGGGGTATAGGATCTCCCACAGAGGTATCACTATGGACCCCACGAAGGTGGAGGACGTGAGGGTCTGGGAGCCCCCAACCACACGCAAGCAGCTGCAGTCATTCCTGGGGTTCGCAAACTTTTACCGGTCATTCATAAAGGATTATGCTCAGCTCACATCGCCACTCACAGAATTACTGAAGACAAAAGGGAGGGGGGAGACGGCCAAAACACGATCCCCGGGGGATAAGCTAGTGTGGTCAGAGGAGTGTCAGGACGCCTTCGAAAAGCTGAAGCGCAGGTTCACAGAGGAACCGCTTTTGATTCACCCGGATACGGCCAAGCAATTTGTGCTCCATTGCGACGCCTCCGATTGGGCATACAGGGCAGCGCTTATGCAAAGGGATTCTGAGGGAACCTTGAGACCTTGTGGGTTCCTATTCAAAAAATTTACTGAGACAGAACACAATTGGCCGATTTGGGAGAAGGAAGCACTTGCGATAATGAAGGCACTCCAATGAGTGTTGGAGGCACCTATTGGAAGGGAGCAGCGTCCCATTCGAGGTGTGGACTGACCATAGGAATCTACAGTACCTAACATCCCCCCGCAAATTGTCAGCCAAACAAATCCGGTGGGCCCAGTTCTTCTCCCGTTTTCAGTTCGAATTAAAATTCCACAAAGGGAAAGAGAACGTGGTCGCGGACATGCTCTCTCGTATGCCACAACATGAAGGGGGAGAAGGGCGGGCGCTCGAGAGCCTCCTATCAGTGCAGCGAGGGGGGATGGCAGTCGTGACCAGGGCACAAGCAGAGCGCAGTAAAGAGCTAGTTGGAGTAGGAGGAGGGGGAGAGAGTTGGGAGGAAGAACTAAGGCAAGCGTACAAGAAAGATGAATGGCTCCAGGAGAATGAGGAAAAGGTGGAGTGGAAGAGCGGATTGGGGTTTGTGAACAAAAAACTGTACGTTCCCAAAGCATTGCGGGGGGAAATGATGAGGAGGTGTCACAACAATAAAAGTGCGGGCAATTTTGGGGTCACAAAAACAACCAAACTGTTAGCATGGCAATGTTGGTGTCCAGGGATGAGAGGTGACACCAAATTCTATGTTTCCAAGTGTGACACTTGTGCTAGGAACAAGACCCCCACACAGAAGCCCACAGGTCTGTTACAAAAAGTGGCTGACCCCACAAGACCGTGGAGCTCGATCGACTGGGCGGATCTTCTCCCCTACGCAGAGTTGGCGTACAACGCAGCCTCGCACGCCACAACCGGGGAGTCCCCCTTCAAAATTGTTTACGGCCAGGAAGTTGCCCCCCTTCCAAGGTTGCCGGAGTGGGAGGAGGGAGAGCAGAGGAGGGGAGGGGAGAGGATTGGGCGGACAGAATGAGAGCCAGCTGGGAAGAAGTAGTCGCATCACTGCGGGAAGCCCAAAGGAAACATAAACTATTCGCCGATTGTAAACGGAGGGAGGGGGACAAGTTAGAGGAAGGTGAATTAGTCTGGCTGTCCGTAAAAAACATTAGGTTGGACGCGCCATCAAAGAAACTCACCCCACATTACCTGGGTCCGTTCAGAATCCTGAACAAGATAAATGAAGTCACATTTAGACTAAAACTACCCAAGAGTTTGGGGAAAGTTCACCCTGTGTTCCACTGTGGGTTACTCAAAAAATATCAAGGCCCTCTCGACCCAGAAAGCCTATAGATATGTTTTCCACTTTCATTGCAGAAGGAAGAAGAGGAGGAGGACGCCATG